AAGCCTCCATGGGCTGCTGCATGTTTCAAACCAACACGTTCTCACTCCCGTCACACGTTGACGGACGGTCAGGGCCCCTCCCTGTCACTCTATTACGGACAGGGTGGCCCTGAGAGTCAGTTTTCAACGGGCAGGGCGTCCCATAGACCTTCATAGACCTCCCATAGCGTTGACAATCGATGCCATGAGAGCGCTCCCCGACGGTCGGTTGTGATTTCACCGATGTTCTTGTTGCCCCAGCTGGTCGACACCTCTTTTTGCAGAAACAAAGGCTACATTAATGTATTAAATCGATGTTAATCCATGTGTGTGGTTGTGGAATTAATGGACGTGCCGTTGTCCAATACAAACTCTTCAACTACAAAGCTAATTATATTTTAAAACATTTTAGAAGGCCTCACGAAATACTTGTTAAGGGATGTGTGTAATGTGGTGATTGACATTATTCACCCACGGATCTATGTGTTGGGATATTGTTCCGCACGGACATTTTAGTTAACCGGACTTCCTGTTGTGTAATTTGAAAAAAAAATTTAAAAATAAAATAATCCGAGTTTGCTTGCTTTTCTCTTTGGAGGTCATCACATAACGGCATTGTAATACACGGTTCGGCTGCATTAAATATTACATATCTGCCGTAGTTTGCTATTTATAGAGCCGTGGTGAGAAGACTTCTAGACAAATAGGAAGAACTGCCGCCGAAACTGAATATGTGACGTGGATCATAAATATATCAGCAATTAAACAAAATCTTCAATTTCTCTTCACAATATAAGTCTCCTTGCAGTATCAATACTAATTCGGCTGACTTTTATATTTGATCCAATCGGTATATTGGTATATTTACACCATAACAGTGCACAGCTGATAGAAAGGGACACCTGGTGGTTAAAGCACGTTATTGAAATGTATTATTTTTGTTATTAGATATTAATAGGAAACACAGAGACAAACTAATAAGGCTTTATTTAAACATTAAATAATACTTTAGGTTAAGGTCTTATTTTGAATAAGAAAAAAGCTTTGGGGGTATAAATATTAAGCCTGACAAAGTACTAATATATTGCTTTCCTGCAATGTTAACTACTGTATGTTTAAGCACTTATTTTAACTAATATTATACTCTTATAAGATGTATGTAGATAGTATAAGAAATGTGCAGAATACGACAGTTTAATGGTGGAGGTGGAGCTACAGTATACACACATATTGATAGATGTCTTGTAATGCACTGTTGAGGAACCTGCGACCCAAGTTTTTCATCTCCGACCTTGTCAGGTATTGAATATTCAATAAATAAAGAACACAGAATTATTAAATATAAAACACAGAATTTGTGTGATTATACTAAATGATTTACAAATAAACACCACTGCATATTTACAACTGTTACACATGCTGAATTTGCCTCTGAAGCTTGACAAGTGCATGTTTCAGGCTTATCAATGAACAACAGGAGGGGTCACAGACATAAGACCAGCTGTTAAATAAAGCTCTTCTGACCTTAGCTGTCATGTGGGTATATATTAATGCTGCCCATTATGGGCACAAGCAATTTTCACCCATTTATTAATTATATGTTTTAAATTTGAGTGTTTCCTATCCCCTAAACCTCCAGGGATGTACACAGTTTAATACTGGCAACTTCTTATTATGGGAAATACGAAAACGTCTTTTAAAACTACAACTCCCAGTAGAGACCTGCCATAGAACATGTTGCAAAACACACAATAGCCAGCATGTGTAGTTCTGGGGACGGGGTGGAGGAGGGGGGACGGGGTGTACATTATTCAATTAAAAATAAAAAAGTAAAAACAATAAGTGTGGCTTGATATTGAGTAAGAAAAAGATTGATAAACGCTGTGAGAATGGATCTGCGGAGAGCATTTCGCCGCAATCTCAACTTCAGGGAGGTCTATGAAGGTCAATGGGACGCCCTGCCCGTTGAAAACTGACTCTCAAGGGGTACCCTGTCCGTAATAGAGTGACGGGGAGGGGCCCTGACCGTCCGTCAACGTGTGACGGGTTGGGAGTGAGAACGTGTTGTTCAAACAGCTGCTTGTTTATGCTGTTTACAGATTAACTTTCTTAGGGCATTCCACACTATGTTAAGTGTACGATTGGCGTTGGGTTCCAACCATGGTACCAACACTGCCATGCTTGGGGGTATTGATTGGTGGCTCACTGTAACGTGAGACCAGTATTGTAAGGAAAGGAGCCTAACGGCCCATCCACACGGCGGCGTGCATTGAAGCTTCAACGCTTCTTCCCATTCACTTTGAATGGGGTGACGTCACGCTTTGCCAAACTGCATTGTGGTCGCGTCGCTTTGCCTTCGTTGCTCGCTTCGAAAGGTGAGAGAAGTTCAACTTTTCAAGCCCGGCAAGCGTCGACTGGCAAGCTTCAACACACGCTGCCGTGTGGACGTACCGAAGTGGCTCTTCAGAATAACAGTTGGGCAATAAGAAGCTGAAAAGACAATATTGACAAGTAAACTCGTGATGCAGTTCTTGAAACATTTCTCATACATCATCTTTTCATTGGAATACAATTTCACAGCCTGACATATACCTTTTTTTTGGATAGAGGTTCAAGCAGCATAATATCCTGACAAATGTATCTGTACAAGATTTTGCTATTCAACGCAAACACAATTAATGCAAAAAAATGCATGTTTCAAAGGTGCACTGATAAGAAGCACAGCTTGGGTAAATCTTGATAAGACTAACCTTCTGAATTCAGTGTAAAATGCTGTGGATCATAGTCTCCAGCTCCTCGTCTTTTCACTTTCCTCCCACTTCTTCTCTCTTCTTTCTCCCCCTTTCTCCCTCTCCCCCCTCTCGCTGATAGCTGTTATTAGTTTAGTCTTCTCCTGTTTGGGGGAGATAATGACACAGCAAAGCTTTTTGTGTCTATCAGTTTGCGTGTGGTTGTTGTTGCTCCCTGTCATTAAGCAGCCAGTCTGTGTGGTTAAAATGACACAGCTTCGACTGTTTGAAGCTCTGCCAGCTTTACCATCTGATCCCAGATCTTCCTCCAGCAAACAGGTCGGCCCCACATGCCTCAGTCCAGCCACCAAAGCTCCAGTGTAGGGCCCAGAGTCGGCAGGTTTTCCCTCTCAAATGCTGTTGTGGACATTTGTATGCACATATTCTACATCACTGCATGGCAGAACAGAGTCCTACATAAACAGCATTTTAAGAGCATCTTCCGTCTTTCAATTAATATTTGAAATGTTCAAAGATATTCACAGATATTTGACCTATAGTACTTATAGCTAACACAAAGAACCAAACATATCACCACTGTATGCATAGAATACAATTAAAAAGCATTTTGTTGTCTATACTGTAGATTTATGTTTTTTTTTTGACAGAATGTTCAGTAGAGATAATTCAAACTCAACTTTGAATGGTGTTAATGATTGTATTTGATATAGTTATAGTGAGATTATTCTCCTTAGTCTTCTTCTCTGCTCGAATTCTTACCCTTTAGAGGTTACATTAATACCTATTACCACTAGATGTCCTCGATCTGACATGAAGCTCTCAATACACATGTATTCAGAATCTGATGAGAGAATCACAATGAGAAAGGGAAGAATACAAGCTGATGCGAATATTTTGAACTTCATCAAATCGTACAGTAAATAAAACCCATAGGAATCCTCCGAAGTCATGAAAATGTTTGTAATAATAAATTAAAAACCCTTCATGATAAATGCAACCAACATGATTTTAGTGAAACAATATAGTTATTTAGTTTCAAAGATTTTAGATTTCTTAAAAGGAAGAGGAAATATAAGTGATCCTGCTGTTTTTATTATAGGTTTTTTGGGCGTGTTGAATGTGGACACATCTGCATGTGCCGCATTGGAATGCAAATGCATGAGGCAGGTTTTAGCATTAACACGTTTTATTCTGCAAAGTCAAAGTAACATTCTCTGTTTTATTATGTGTTGTCTTCTTGATGTCCTTCTTGTTTCCTCCTCACCCTAAATCTTTTACAGTTACTGTAACAGTTCAATGGAATACTCAGTAGGTGGCGATGTCGTTTTAAATATTAGAGAGATCAGGTTCTCTATATTGTACTGTACAAGACATTTGATTTCCAACTGTGGTTCAATGACTGAAGTACAAAGTGTTTCAGGAATCACTTAGATCATATCTACAGGTAGAATGCAAAATACATATTAATATTACAATTCCTGCTTTGAGTTTGTCACTGCTCTGTGCACCTTGGAAGTAGGTGAGTTGTTCTGGTAATCATTACTCTGCTTCTACTATCTTGTGACAATATACACATATAAATAATTCTTAACATTTCCAAACGACAGCTTCAACACAACATCAATGGATTTTTTTTAAATGTACTCTGTTTGTAATAGAACACTTTTAGAAATAGTGTTACATTTTCAACCAGTCAGTTAAGCATTATGTTTTTTTTTAAATAAAAAAAGTTAACATTTGATCTTCTACAGATACTATTTACAGATCAATATTTGAAATGTATTTCATTGTAATGTATTTGTTTTATAATTTGTTTACATTGTATTTTACAATATAATGTTGGTTCATAATTTTTTTACATTCATTAAAACATAATTCATTAAATAATGATTAGAATTCAATGTTCAATCTTTTTTAATTTGTTTGTAGATTCTATATTGTAATTTAATTTTTTCCTATTTTAGATTTCTATTTTAAATGTTGTTTTCTTTGTTTTAAGTGGTCGTATTGATGGATTTAAGTGGTATTATTTATAAGTGTGGATGAACGAGGCACACTGTTTTTACATGTTTCCTTTCCTAAATATGAATTATAAATAGCCTACTTATCTTTTTAATTCATTATATTTCTATGTCCATCTTCATTTTATTTAATCTAATTTGACCCTCTTTTTTCATTAGAAAGCCTCCTCAACTGAGGGCGGGGCCAATTGGCGGCGCGTGCACGTTCCTTCAGGCTCGCGCCCTTGCAGCCACCGCCGCGTCTCGTGCACCAGCGCCAGTGAAGCAGCTCGCGCTCTCTGTAAAGTTCTCGTCCTGTTTCCTGCTGTCAGTCCTCCCCGCTGCACCATGCGTCTCCTCCCGAAGACACTATGGGATGTACCCGCTCTGAGAAGACACTAACCCCGGGCTCTGCTGCTGCCTGTGTCTGCTCTCTGCTCTACTTCAGCCGGGGAAACCCTGCCGCTCTACTCTGAGCGTTTTCATCCACACCGCGCCGCTTTTCCTCTTTAATTTATTTGTTGCCTGCCGCTTCATTTATGGACCACAGAAGCTCCGAGTAGAGTGTTTGTCATTTTCGTTCACACAGCTGAAGATGGAGTCGGTGATGGAGAGGGAGTGCAGCGCGCTGGGGGGGCTTTTCCAGACTGTCATAGGAGACATGAAGGTAACATTATTATTATTTCCTCTGACTTGTCATTAAAACTGTTGATACCTCCAGCGCCTGTAAAATCCCCTGTTGCATGAAAGCAGGAAAAGCAGACATGTTATCCCATGTGAAATTTCAAGGCGTCATCGTTAATTTGTTAATTATCCAGGAGGGGAGTGAAGTGGGTGTGTTCAGGGCCTGGTGCCTTCATTTCTGCAGTTTACTCCAACAAAATAAAGAGCCCACTGCATGTAAACCCAGATCCATACACAGCTAACAGGATGAATGACAGTGACAGACTGTTGCAGTGCTATCACAGAGCAATGATTTACCTTAGCTCCATACGAAAACTATGAGTCTTTTCAGGGATGTTTTCCAAGTTTTTTTTTTATTACGACAGGGCTGTTCTAATCTAATATACATCTGCTTAATTAAACTTGCTTATCCCTAAAAGTCACATTATGTTGTGCAGCAACATAGAAGGAAGTTGGTCGGATACCGTAGATACTAATATGTTGTCATGATTGGTTGATTTATGCATCAACAATCAAACATGACCATGTTCCAGCTTCTTAAAGGGCTATGCTTCTTGGGGTGTTCCCTTTCCTGTCGGGTGTTTATATAGGAGTCTTTCTCCCCCTGCCTGAAACGCCTCGATTGGACTCCTTTGTTTACTTCAATAACAAAGTGACATCAATATGTTACACTTGCACTTCAATTGGTTAGCGCTCTGCCACATTGTGCGTGATAGGCTAAGGGGTGGGTCATCTCTACTGTAGGCAGTTGACCAATCATAACAGAGCCAGCCAGCTAACCAATCAGAGCAGACTGGGCTCTGGTTTCAGACAGACGTATGAGAACAATAAAGAGTTTTTTGAACATTAAAGCATGGAGACATGTCACAGTAGAGACACTACATACTGATATACACCTGAATATGAGCATTTAAATGTGAGGATTTGCTGCTTTCCTCTGTCTTATTACTGAATATTTTTGTTGATCGGGAAAAAAAAGCATTTTTGGGGGAGCTTCGGTTAATTGTAATGGACGTTAGATATTAAGAAGAAAAATAACTATTGGATGATATTTTAGTCTATCAAATGGGAAAATATAACTTTGTTTTCTTGTATGATAACGTTGGCTCTCGTTTGTATGCATACATACCAGGGTTTCCCACACATAGACTCAGGGCCGGCCCTGACCAATTTGCTAGACACTCGCATGCACGTGCACGGTTGTGGCATGACCAAAACAGAAAGATATGTACACAAGATGTGTGCAGATGTATTTAGTATCCTCTCCATTTGAACATGATTTAAGTGGGGGGGGACCTAACCTCCTCTCGGGGGGTCCGGGGGCATGCTCCCCCGGGAAGATTATTTTTTATTTTTAATATTGAAGTTAAAAGCATCAATCTGGTGCACTTTGAGAGCAACATTAAGAGATCTATGGATACCTCTCTCAACACCCATATGAGACAGAACTGTAAACAGATTTTCTTTTTCTTTATGGATATTTTACAAATCACTCCCCTTTCAAACTGTATTCTTGTTTATTAATAACAACTTTTTTTTACTGTCATATAGTATTTTATACTATAAGAGAATAGATGAAAATCTATTCTCTTATTTTGTTATAACTATAATGATCATATAAAGGTGTGCCTTTACCTCACTGAGTTGAGGTTATCAGAGCCTCTCAGTCTTTCAGGAGAGAGCTCTCTAATGGCGCATTTCCACTGCAGCGGGTAGCCCCGTTTAAGCGTCCTTAATCGTCCTCAAGCGGCCAGGCCAGTTTTTGGTGGCCTTTCCATATAGCGTAGCACCGGCTAGCGGGTACTTTTTCCCTCTTTTTCCGGCCCCATAAAATCGTGGTTCTATCAGACCAGGGCCAGGGCTGAACTAGTGACGTCAACACTCTCGACTGCTGATTGGTCAGAGAGAATCGTCACAAGATTGCGCGCAAGATCATCCCTAGCGTCGCATATATATCTAGAAGCAAGCTTGCAGCATTTTTATACACAGCATTTTGTAAACGGAGGAGCTACAAAAATGTCAGCGTCAAAGAAAAGCACACCGTGGTCGACCGAGGAGGTGACGACGTTCCTACATCTCATTGGGGATGATAAAATCCAGCGGGAGCTCGACGGAACAACTCGAAATGTGAAGCCGATCGCCCCGCCTACACTGCGTTGCTACCCCAGGTCCTAAACTGTAATGGAAATGCGCCACGGCCTCGGACGGCCAGCGAGGCAGTGAGGACGCTAGGGACGCTTAAACGGGGCTACCCCGCTGCAGTGGAAATGTGCCATAAAGCCGCTTACACAGTAAATTCCAATGTTAATAAAAGCTGTATACGTTTTTTGGCAGTTTGATTTATTTTAAATTAACACAAATACAAAATTAAAACCTGTAATTGCACACTAAAACCATTATTTCAAAAAAATAACTATTTCACATAAACCTCTGTTTTTTACTGGGGCGGTTCAACTTGATTTTGGGGGGGGGGGCGCCATAGTTTATGGAC